ATATTATACATGAGATCATATTATACATGAGATCATATTATACATGAGATTGTATTATACATGAATAAATATGGTAAGTACAGTAACAAAGTATTTGTACTTACAACTCTGCTCCTCTCCAGGAAAACCATTATTACTCCTGATTTAGCATCTCCCCACTTGCTTCCTGTTGATCCAGTTTAAGACTGCTTTGCTTGACCTGGCTCTTAAATCTTTAGCTGTAATTCACATTCTAGATCTCATAAATCTTCAGAACACCACCTAGACGTTCCATGTTATGTTCTGTTTTATTTTAGTGAAGGAGATTGTGCTGTAATGCTTCTGAACCTGTGATGTGATGGATCTATAATCACATTTTAAACAGAATCCTGAGTGGGAAATGTCTCATGCTAAAAAGAAACAAAGGATTTTGCTCCACACTTCAGCATAAAACCRTTTTCATTCAAACTAAATCAAGAGAATAAAGGCCACGTTCACGCTGCAGGCGAATGCGACCCATATGAATGTGACAAAGCCAATTTTTTTCTAATCTGACCCAGGTCTTTTCGGAATGTGCTACTAAATCACATACATATCTGATATTTTTCAAAGCAGCTGCAGTACGTATACAGTGCAGCTCTGCTAACGTCATTTTTCCCTTTAAATAACTAAAATTTGAAATACTCAACAACTGATTCAGTGCAGAAGGTGCTGTTTGTTTGTTTGTTGTCTCTGTTGTTTCAGATATTGCACCTTCACACACAGCTGCTTAATGAAAACTGACATTTATTTTCCTTTTCTCTTTCCCTCCCAACAAATCAGTAATTYAAAGTTATACGGTGTGATTACACAGCTTTACCTGCAGTTACCACACACACTGAGACAGTGTTGTGTCTGCACACCTTTCTGTTTGCTTCATTGACCTCTGCTGACCGTGTTTAAAGAGATTTGTTTCAGAAATGCTGACTCTTCTCCTCTCTTCTCCTCTCCTGTGACCAGACTCGGGGAGGAGCAGCAGAAAGGTCCAAGAGGAGGCTGTTGTTGATGAAGAGGCCATATTGAGTCTTCTGGAGAGCAGTCAGACTTTTCTTCCAGGGTCCCAGTCACCCACCCGCTCACCCCTGCTAGGTACAGTACACATCTCATGCTCACAGTTTGCAGTGTGTAGTTTCTACCAAGGACTGTGTCCCTTTTATTCCTTTCTATCTGTGTTGGGGACCGAGCTTAACAGTGACCAAATATTAATTTGAAATTGACTCATCTGGGAAGCTGCAGGTCGCAACAATTAAGGGTGACCGTGTTTGTTCATGAGAACTGCACAGTTTGTCTATGAGAACTGCACAGTTTGTCTATGAGAACTGCACAGTTTGTCTATGAGAACTGCTCAGTTTGTCCATGAGAACTGCTCAGTTTGTCAATGAGAACTGCTCAGTTTGTCCATGAGAACTGCTCAGTTTGTCCATGAGAACTGCTCAGTTTGTCAATGAGAACTGCTCAGTTTGTCCATGAGAACTGCACAGTTTGTCCATGAGAACTGCACAGTTTGTCAATGAGAACTGCTCACATTTTCCATGAGAACTGCTCAGTTTGTCTATGAGAACTGCACAGTTTGTCTATGAGAACTGCTCAGTTTGTCCATGAGAACTGCTCAGTTTGTCAATGAGAACTGCTCAGTTTGTCCATGAGAACTGCACAGTTTGTCCATGAGAACTGCACAGTTTGTCAATGAGAACTGCTCACATTTTCCATGAGAACTGCTCAGTTTGGCCATGAGAACTGCACAGTTTGTCCATGAGAACTGCACAGATTGTCTGAGAACTGCACAGATTGTCTGAGAACTGCTCAGTTTGTCCATGAGAACTGCACAGTTTGTCCATGAGAACTGCACAGTTTGTCAATGAGAACTGCTCAGATTGTCCATGAGAACTGCTCACATTGTCCATGAGAACTGCTCAGTTTGTCCATGAGAACTGCTCAGTTTGTCCATGAGAACTGCTCAGTTTGTCCATGAGAACTGCTCAGTTTGTTCATGAGAACTG